AAACATGGGCATAGTAACAATATTTTTATACTACATTTATCCATTTCAAATATACTAACCTCACTCCTTTGTAACAACTAAGGCAAAAATGTAATTAATTCAAAAAATCTTTTCAGGACCCCACCTTGATGTTTCAGGACCCCACTTTGGGTCCCGACCCCAACTTTGGGAAACACTGCTTTAGATCACATCCCTCGAAGTGAAACCTTTGCTGGCTCACAGTTTAAACCCCACCAGACAGAGGTTTTTTTTTTTTTTTTTCAAAAATCTTCTGTACCCATGAATCCTAAAAAGGGGTTGGAGCATTGAAAAGTGTACAGCAGGAACTTCCATGTTTTAAGTAATCCCTAAAGGTGATCAAATTATGCAAGTTATGCTTATGCCATCCAACTTGGCTGTTGATTCTTTTAACAAAGGTTAATTTCTCTTTATTTGTGAATAAATTAAAAAAACAATTTATTTAATCAAAAACACTTGCTATGTTTAGTTAAGTTTTATGAATGGTTACCCAAAAGTCTACTTTTTGGTAAAAGTCAGTAAAGATTTGTCGTCCATTTTTCCAACAGAATTTGAATGGGGAAAAAAAGTGCTTCCAACAAAAAAGAAAGAAAAATAAACTTACCCAAAACTGCACAATTTTAGATGTTTTTCTATAGTTTTCTGTTAAAAATGTCAACCTTTAAATTTCAAAGAAAGGTGTCTAAATGTTTGGGTCTGTCGAAGGCCACACAAAATCACATTGAGGGCCACAAACTTTGACCCCATCCCACCCCCCCACCCCCTCTGGGAAAATGTTTGTTTTGTCTTTTAATCCAATACATTTGATTTGTTACAGACATACAGCCTTCAGCTTTGTACTGGTAGGTGATTATGTTTAGTGCCAGAACTGTTTATTAAAAAAATATACCTGGTAATGATCTAACAGCTGACAGTTGTCTTATCTTTGTCAGACATAAAAGAAGAGCTGGAATCAGTGAAAACACAGCTTCTGGAATCAGCTCAGGACAGTTCCCGGCTCAGTGTGTAAACCTTCAGAATAAACAGTCATATCAGTGTCGGCTCACTGCAGTTTTCTAACTTATCCACTTGCTGACAGATGAGGAGGTCTTTGGGTTGAACAGAGAAGTCAAGAAGCTCAGTCTGAATCTTAACACCTGCACTTCTGCCTTGTCGTCTGTCGCCGGCTGTAAGATTCTAATTCTTATTTTGCTCCTGTGTGTCTCAGAGATTCTTCCTCATGTGATTTATTTA